GTGGAGGCAGGACAATTGCTTGAGCCAGAAGTTGGAGGTTGCTGTGAGCTGTGATGCCACCGCACTCTACCCAGGGTGATAGCTTGAGGCTCTGTCTCAAAAAAAAAAAAAAAAGAAAACAAAGAAAAAGAAAGAAAAAAGAGAAGAGAAAACTAAAGAAAACAAAAGAAAGTATCTGACCTACTTCATTAGGACCCCTCTTCCAAAGCCCAAGTGCCCACTAATCCACAAATGGATCAATAAACTGTGGTATATGTACACCATGTAATACTACACAGCCATAAATAAAGATGGAGATTTTACCTCCTTCATGTTTACATGGATGGAGCTGGAAAATGTTCTCCTTAGCAAAGTTCACAAGAATAGAAGGAAAAGTATCCAATGTACACAGCCCTATTATGAAACTAATTTATAGCTTTCATATGAAAGCTATAACCTAATTATAGCCTAAGAAAATGGGGAGGTGGGAGGGGGAGGCGAGGGAGGTGGATGTGTGGAGGGAGGGTGATTGGAGGGATCACCTCTATGGTTTATCTTTCAAGGGTAAAAGTGAATCTTTCTAAAAGTAGAATATAAACATCTTAACACAATAACTAAGAAAATGACATGAAGGCTATGTTAACCAGTTTGATAAAAATATTTCAAATTGTATATGAAAACACCATACTGTACCCCATGATTGCATTAATATACACAGCTAACATTTAATTAAAAAAAAAAGACCCCTCTTCTAGAAAGGGACCTATCCCATACTTAGAAGGAATACATGCTCAAAAAGGCAAAAAAGAATGTAAACAGATAGTCCTTACTAGATTTCCCTACTCAGTCTATTAGCATTAGATCATACTTTTTTTTTCCAATCATATTTCTACATGGCTTCCATATCTTCTGGTACCTAAGATAAAAATAGACAATTGTCCCAGTATTTTGGGTCTTTATTTTGAAGGCTCCTATGTATGCACATTAAATAAATTTGTATGGCCCAGTGCCTGTGGCTCAAGCAGCTAAGGCGCCAGCCACATACACCTGAGCTGGTGGGTTTGAATCCAGGCCAGGCCCACCAAACAACAATGACAGCTGCAACCAAAAAAAAAAAAAATAGCTGGGCATTGTGGTGGGCACCTGTAGTCCCAGCTATTTGTGAGGCTGAGGCAAGAGAATTGCTTGAGCCCAAGAGTTGGAGGTTGCTGTGAGCCATGACATCACAGCACTCTACTGAGACATAGTGAGACTCTGTCTCAAAAAAAAAAAATTACACACATTTGACTAACCTAAAATTAAGAATTTTTGTTAGTGGTAAGTTCACAAGCTTAATTGTCAGACCTCACGTAATAGTAGGCCTTACAACATTAGACTGTCTTTATTACAAACATGTTATAATTGAGGAAATTATGGTTCAGAGAAATTAAGTACAGTGGACCTTCTCTATCCACAGGTTCCACATCCAAAGATTCAACCATGGATCAATGATGTTTTAGGGAAAAAAATAATAATAAATAATATTTCAACAATAAAATGACATAATTTTATTTTTGTTTGAAAAAAAATTTTTGTTCATCAAATAACATGCATAAAGAAAAAAGGAATGGGCAGCACCTGTGGCTCAATGAGCAGGGTTCAAGCCCCATATACTGAGGGTGGCAGGTTCAAACCGGGCCTGTCCAAATTGCAACAAAAAATAGGCAGGTGTTGTGGTAGGCACTTTTAGTCCCAGCTACTCGGGAGGCTGAGGCAAGAGAATCACCTAAGTCCAAGAACTGGAGGTTGCTGTGAGCTGTGACGCCACAGCACTCTACTGAGGGTGGTAAAGTCAGACTCTGTCTCTGAAAAAAAAAAAGAAAGAAAGAAAGACAAAAAGCAAGTTAAAAAAAAAAGGAAACAGCAAGCTATGGGAAATAGAGGATACTTGCAAAATATATAACTGAGAAAGAACTAGTTTTCAGAACATACAAAGAGCTCATACAGGTTGCAGTGAGCTATGATTGTGCCATTGCACTCAGCCCAGGTGGACAGAGAAAAAGCTTTTCTCTAAAAAGAAGAAAGAAAAAGGGGAAAAAGGACTAAAAACCCTGTACAAGTAAGTAAGAGAAGTAAACTTGTCTATAAAGAAAATAAACAAAAGACATGAATAGGTTGGGCTTGTGGCTCACAACTGCAATCCTAGCACTCTGGGAGGCTGAGACAAGTAGACTACTTGAGCTCAGGAGTTTGAAACCAGCCTGAGCAAGAGTGAGACCTTGTCTAAAAATAACTGGGCATGGTGGTAGCTGCTTATAGGCCAAGTTACTTGGGAGGCTGAGGATCGCTTGAGGCCACGAATTTGAAGTTGCTGTGAAGTATGACGCCATGGCACACTACTAAGAGCAACAAAGTGATGAGACTCTATTTAAAAAAAAAAAAAAAAGACATGAATAAGGAGCTAGGAGCAGTGGCTCATGCCTATAATCCTGACAGTCTAGGAAGCTGAGGTAGGAGGGTCTCTTGAAGTGAGGAGTTTGAGACCTTCCTGAACAAGCATGAGACCCCATCTCTACCAAAAATAGAAAAACTAGCCAGGCATGGAAGGGTGTGCCTGAAGTCCCAACTCCTCAGGAGACTGAGGTAGGAGGATCAGTAGGGGTCAAAAGTTTGAGGTTTCGGTGAGCTATGATGATGCCACACCACTGCACTCTGTGTGACAAAGCAAGACCTTGTTTTGAGAGAGAGCTAGAGACATGAACAAGAAAGTACAACCAAATTTTTTAACTCAGAATAATGGAAATTCTGATAGCCTGCTATGGGACTATACCATTATAGATAATAGCTGGCACCCATCTAACAAAGCTGAAGACACACATAGTCTAATACCCAGCAATTACAGTTTTTGGTTTTATCTAGATAAATCCACATTTATGTGCACCAGGATACTCATACAAGAATGTTCTAGTGGCATTGTCTAAAATATCCCCAAACTGACAAAACCCAAATGTCATCAGAGGTATAATGGATAACTAAGTTGTAGTATATTCACACAATGTACTACAATGATGAAAATGGGGGCTGGGCGCCTGTAGCATAGTGTTCACGGCGCCAGCCACACATACTGAGGCTGGCAGCTTAGAACCCGGCCCAGGCCAGCTAATCAACAGTGACAACCGCAACAACAACAAAAAAAGCTGGGCATTGTGGTGGACACCTGTAGTCCCAGCTACTTGGGAGACTGAGGCAAGAGAATCATTTAAGTCCAAGAATTTGAGGTTGCTGTGAGCTGTGATATGCGCCCACCACAATGCCCAGCTATCTTTTTGTTGCAGTTTGCCCAGGGCCAGGTTTGAACTCACCACTCTTGGTATACGGGGCCAGTGCCCTACTCACTGAGCCACAGGCACCACCCAACACCTAACTATTTTTAGAGATGAGGTCTCTTCTGGCTCAGACTGGTCTCAAACCTGTAAGCTCAGGCAATCCACCCACCTCGACCTCCCAAGTGCTAGGATTACAGGTGTGAGCCACTGCGCCTGGCCATCACTGACTTCCTTTAATCAGCATGTTTTTGATGCTTATTCATGTTCTAGCACATATTAGCACTCCATTCTTTTTCACTGCTAATTTTCCATTGTGTGGATGTACCATGTTTTGTTCATCCATTAACAAACTGAAAGATATTTTAGTTATTTCCAGTTTGGGCTATTATGAATAATGCAGCTATGAATATTTGTATATAAGTCTTTTTGTACGTGCTTTCATTTCTCTTGGGTGAGTACCTAGGACAACTGCTAGGTCCTATGATAAAATAAATTTATTTATTTATTTTTGAGACAGATTCTCACTATTTTGCCCTCGGTAGAATGCTGTGGCATCACAGCTCATAGCAACCTCAAACTCCTGGGCTTATGCGATTCTCTTGCCTCAGCCTCCCAAGTAGCTGGGACTACAGGCACCTGCCACAACACCCAGCTATTTTAGAAATGAGGTCTCACTCTGGTTCAGGCTGGTCTCAAACCTATGAGCTCAAGCAATCCACCCACCTCGACCTCCCAAGTGCTAGGATTACAGGTGTGAGCCACTGCGCCTGGCTCTTAATTTCTTTATACCAGCATTCCCAATCTTTTTGGCAACAGGGGGCCGGTTTCATGGAAGATAATTTTTCCACTGGGGGGTTTAGGTGGAGCTCTGGTGGTGATGTGAACAATGGGATACAGACATTGGCTATAAATACAGATGAAGCTGCTTTACTCTATTGCCCACAGCCCACTTCCTGCTGTTTGGCCTGGTTCCTAAGTTTCGTGGAAGACAATTTTTCCAAGAAGACAATTTTTCCAAGGGTGGTGGGGCAGGTGAAGGGAAGGGAGGAAAGCAGAGCTTAGCTGCTACCTACTAACAGGCCCAGGACAGGGGGTTGGAGACTGCAGTTCTATACTACAAGTGCTCATAATTTAATATTGAGATAACTGAGAAAAAGGACATAAGTATAATTTCAACTATGTAAAGAAAACATTGCACTAAAAAAACTGTAAGAAAATAAACTATTAATTATTATTGTCTTATGTAAAAAACAGATGAGCCAATTCTTTTCTGTTCCTATATATTTTTTCAGTACTATCTGAATTTGCTAAATCTGCATATACCTGTACAAATTTTCATTCTTTTTTTTTTCTGAGACAGAGTCTCTGTCACCCTGGGTAGAGTGCTATGGCATCATAGCTCACAGTAATCTTAAACTCTTGGGCTTGAGCAATCCTCTTGTCTCAGCCTTCCAAGTAACTGGGTCTACTAGTGCCTGCCACTATGCCCAGCTAATTTTTTTTTCCTATTTTTAGTAGAGACAGGGTCTTCCTCTTGCTCAAGCTAGTCTTGAACGCCTGAGCTCAGGGAATCCAATCACCCTGGCCTCCCAAAGTACTACAACTACAGGCATGAGCCACCGTGCTCAGCCAATTTTCATTTTGATTATCAACATAAGTGAAAAACTAAGTAAGGAGGGAGAGAAGGAAAAGAACTCTTAGATTTGATCATCTCACCTCAAAGAGGAGGCTGAATGCATCCTCCTCCTGGCTTGTGAGGTGGACCGACAACCCCTTAACGAAGACCCCTTGAGAGTTTTCCACGATGGTCATTGGTGTGACTGAGGGTCCAACATAGGGCAGAGTGGACAGGAGATCAAACAGGCTCTCATTATAGATTTCCAAATAGGAAACACGCACAGTGACGGCGTGTGTGGGACGTTCTTCGATCATCCTAAAAACCTAGATAGGAGATTGAACAGTAGTCACCAAGAGCAGAACTCTCTTTTTTTTATTTTTTTGCAACAGAGTATATCACTTTGTCATCCCTGGTGGAATGCCATGGTGTCACAGCTCACAGCAACCTCAAACTCTTGGGCTTAAGCAATTCTCTTGCCTCAGCCTCCCAAGTAGCTGGGACTACAGGTGCCTGCTACAACTTCTGGATATTTTTTTTTTTTTTTTAGAGATGGGATCTTGCTCTGGCTCAGGCTGGTCTCAAACTCCTGAGCTCAGGCAATCCACCCACCTCAGCCTCCCAGAGTGCTAGGATTACAGGCATGAGCCACCACACCCTGCCAACAGCAGAACTCCTAACAGTGTTAGGGGAGCTCTTAGGAGGGAAGATCATTAAGAAGTATAAGATAATCCTTGTCTTTAGAAATTCACAGTTTAGTTGGTGTAATGGTCATCCTCAACAATTATTATTTTTTTTTTGAGACAAGAGCATCACTTTGTCACCCTCAGTAGAGTTCTGTGGCATCACAGCTCATAGCAACCTCAAAACTCTTGGGCTTACGTGATTCTTTTGCCTCAGCCTCCCAAGTAACTGGGACTATAGGTGCCCACCACAACACCCAGCTATTTTGTTTTGTTTGTAGAGATGGGGGTCTCACTCTTTCTCAGGCTGGTCTCGAACCAGTGACCACCTGTCTCAGCTTCCCAAAGTGCTAGGATTATAGGAATGAGCCACCACACCTGGCCTTAATCAACAATTTTTTTTTTTTTTTAAGACAGAGTCTCAAGCTGTCACCCTGGGTAGAATACTATGGCGACATAGCTCATAGCAACCTCTAACTCAGGCTCAAGTGATCCTCTTGCCTCCGTTTTTCTATTTTTAGTAGAGACGAGGTCTCACTTTTGCTCAGGCTGGTCTTGAACTCGTGAGCTCAAGCAAGCCACCCACCTCAGCCTCCCAGAGTGCTAGGAGGCCACAAGCATGAGCCACCACACCCAGCCTTAATCAACAATTATTATTAGTTCATTGGATGATATTTACCATCATGATTTAGTTTTTGAGGCTTGACTCAACAGATTGACTAATACCTATATAGTCCCAAGAAGTAGAATCATGATGAATGGAAAGGACTTTGAAAATCTCTTATTTTGTAGGGTTTCAGCATGCTATGGCTTTTCGTATCTATTATTTAATTCTGTCCTCATAATCCCTCTGTGACTGAAGCAGGGAAGGGGTAATATCCATTTGTGGAAGACTCCATGCAATAGAATTCTCTATGGTCACTTGCTAGCAAAGGTAGATGTAAAGCCAGAACTCAGCCTTCTCAACTCCTAAGACCCTCCGCAGGACTAATCAAGCAAGTGACTTTGGACAGGTCTTTCTCCCTCTATGGATCTTCATTTCTCAAATGGGGGCCAGATAATCCCTGAAGTCTTTTTTTTTTTGGAGACAGAGTCTCACTATGTTACCCTCAGTAGAGTGCCGTGGCATCACAGCTCACAGCAACCTCAAACTCTTGGACTTAAGCTACTCTCTTGCCTCAGCCTTCCAAGTAGTGGGGACTACAGGTGCCCACCACAACACCCAGCTATTTTTGGGTGTTTAGCTGGTCCAGGCCAGGTTCGAACCTGCCACCCTCAGTGTATGTGGCTAGCACCATAACCACTATGCTATGGGCACCAAGCCTATCCCTGAGATCTTATCCTCCTCTAAGACAGTGATTTTCAGCCAGTGTGCCATGAAAAATTTTACAGATTATTAACTAAATTATTTTTAAAGGAGTTCAAAGCACAGTAAGTATATTCTTTTTTTTTTTTTTAACTCCTTTTTGGGGATCAACATAATTTAAGTGTGCTGTGAAAGTTTTAACTATAGGTTCAGGTGTGCTATAAGATAAAAAAGGTTGAAAACACTGCTCTAACAGTTTAGATCTGTGCTGTCCAAAATGGTTGACTAGTTACAGATGACTGCTGCGTACTTGAAATGTAGTTAGTGCAAATAAACTGATTTTTTTTTTTTAGAGACCAAGTCTCACTTTGTCGCCCTCAGTAGAGTGCTGTGATGTCACAGCTCACAGCAACCTCCAGCTCTTGGGCTTAGGTGATTCTCTTGCTTCAGCCTTCCCAGTAGCTGGGACTGCCACAACACCTACTTTTTGGTGCAGTTTGGCTGGGGCTGGATTTGAACCTGTTACCCTTGGTACATGGGGCTGGCACCCTACTCACTAAGCCACAGGTGCTGGCCCAAAGTAACTAAATTTTAAAAACTGATACTCAGGCGGTGCCCATAGCTCAGTGGGTAGGGCACTGGCCACATATACCCAGGATGGCCTGGGCCAGCTAAACAACAATGACAACTGTAACAACAACAACAAAAAATAGCTGGGTATTGTGGCCGGTGCCTGTAGTCCTAGCTACCTGGGAGGCTGAAGCATGAGAATCACTTAAGCCCATCGGTTTGAGGTTGCTGTGAGCTTGTGCCACCTTAGCACTCTACCCAGAGCGACAGCTTGAGACTTTGTCTCAAAAAAAAAAAGAGAAAAAACAACCTGATACTCAATTCAGTTATTGGTAAACTTTTTAAAGTATGTTTGGAACAATCTGGGCATGTAAATTTACTTTTCAATATTCTATTTTATGAATTTCTGTATTTCTGATAAATATTTAATGTCTAAATTGAAATGTGTTGCAAGTATAAAAAACACTCTGGGGCGGCACCTGTGGCTCAGTGAGTAGGGCACTGGCCCCATATACTGAGGGTGGTAGGTTCAAACCCAGCCCTGGTCAAACTGCAACAAAAAAATAGCCAGGCGTTGTGGTAGGTGCCTGTAGTCCCAGCTACTGGGGAGGCAGAGGCAAGTGAATCACCTATGCCCAAGAGCTGGAGGTTGCTGTCAGCTGTGATGCCATAGTACGCTACTGAGGGTGACAAAATGAGACTCTGTCTCTAAAAAAAAAACAAAACAAAAAAACACTCTGGGCAGCACCTGTAGCCCTGTAGGTAGGGCATTGGCCTCATATACCAAGGGTGATGGGTTCAAACCTGGCCTCGGCCAAACTTCAACAAAAAAAATAGCCAAGCATTGTGGTGGGCAACTGTAGTCGTAGCTATTGGGAGGCTGAAGCAAGAGAATCGCCTAAGCCCAGGAGTTAGAGGTTGCTGTGAACTGTGATGCCATTATACTCTACTGAGGGCAATAAAGTGAGACTGTATCTAAAAAAAAAACCACTCTGGATTTCAAAGATTTAGTATGAGAAAAAGAATATAAAATATCTCAATTTTTGTATGTGGAAATATTTTAAATATGTTGAAATAAATAAATATAGTTAAAATTAATCTTATCTTTTATTTTTAACTTTTTGAAATGCTGTTACCAGAAAACTCAAAATTGCATATATGACTTACATTATATTTCTTTCTCTCTCTCCTTTTTTTTTTTAAGACAGAGTCTCACTTTTTCACCTTTGATAGATTGCTGTGGTATCACAGCTCATGGCAATCCCAGTCTTGGGCTCAAGTGATCCTTTTGCCTCAGCTTCTTAAGTAGTTGGGACTATAGGCACCTGTCACAACACCCACCTACTTTTTTTTTTTTTTTTGGTGAGACAGAGCCTCAAGCTGTTGCCCTGGGTAGAGTGCCACGGCAATATAGCTCACCGCAACCTCCAACTCTTGGGCTCAAGTGATTATCTTGCCTCAGCCTCCCAAGTAGCTGGGACTACAGGTGCCCACCACAACACTCAGCTATTTTTTGGTTGCAGCCATCGTTGTTTGGCGGGCCTGGGCTGGATTCAAACCCACCAGCTCAGGTATATGTGGCTGGCACCTTAGCTGCTTGAGCCACACCCGCGTATTTTTAGAGAGTGGTCTCGCTTTTGCTCAAGCTGGTCTCGAACTCCTAAGCTCAAGCAATTCACCTGTCTTGGCCTCCCAAAGTGCTGAGATTATAAGCGTGAGCCATTGCACCCAGCCTTTACATTATATTTCTATTGAATGTCACTGGATTAGACTACTAAACTCTAAGAGGCTAAAATACATAAGCTTTGACAGTGGGATATTAAGGATGTTACTTCAAAAACTGGAGCATATATAGTTTATATACTAGAGGGATGCCTATACTTCTTATAGAACAATACTGTAAAACCACAAGATGCTTTGGGGAAAGACCTTTTGCCTCCAACCTCCAACCAGAGGGTCCAAAGGAAGGCTGTTCTGTCTTGTCTTCA